ACAGCGCGAGGAACGGGACAACTAGACAGACGCAGCGCTGGCTGTCAATCACACTTCTACGGCGAAGCTATATATTAGCCCCGTCGCTTCCGCTGTCGTCGTAGTAGTATTAGTACTGGTAGTAGTAGCCACGCAGCTCACATGACCAAGGGGGTAAGCGAATATCTAACGAACTGAATTGATAAAGCGAAATGATCATCATGATACATGATGATGACGACGACGATGATGAAAGATGATTGAAAGCTGTAAATATGATGAATTCAAATCTAGCCGCGCGCTTAAGACACCACGTGATCTCGCTAGCCAATCAGGAAAATCGGCTAGAAAAGGAAGACAGAACGGCAAAAACATCCGGTCAATGTCAGCCATCCGGGACATCAGACCACTACACGCGCAAAAAAATCAGCGACAGAGATTCGACGTTAAGGTTTTAAATACCTTAGTCGGTGGTCTAGTGGCTAAGGTACTCGGATGCTGACCCGCAGGTTGCGGGATCGAATCCCGACTGCAGCAGCTGCATTTCCGATGGAGGTGGAACTGTTGTAGGCCCGTGTGCTCAGATTTGGGTGCGCGTTAAAGAACCCCAGGTGGTCGAAATTTCCGGAGCCCTCCACTACGGCGTCTCTCATAATCATATGTTGGTTTTGGGACGTTAAACCCCACATATCAATTAAAATACCTTAGTGTTCCTGTTTAACCATTAGACTGTGATCGCGGTGAAAACCAGGCGGCGTAAAAGAAGCAAGGAAAGGTCGGGCATGGTTTGAAGTCCCCTCGGCAAAATGATAAGAGGAAAACATGGACTCAGTGACGGAGAAACCGAGCTCAGAGGACAAACCCAGCCTTGTTGCCTCGGCCACCGATAACTAACATCTTAGGGGGACCGAGTTACGAGGTTTCTCGGCCGTAATCTGGAGCGCTCTGCATGCAAAAATAGTGACACGTCACAAAAAAAAAAGAAAGATTAGAGAAAGACGTGGGGAATGCTGGTTCGTTCGTTCGTTTTTTCGTTCATTCATTCATCAATTCATTCATTTTGTATATATAGTTCTTTCCTTCAACAATTTCTCGTCTATTAGTTACTTTATTGTGAGTGGTACGTCACTACTGCATTTTCACTCTTGATGAGTCCATTATGAAGCTTGTCTCCGTTTGCACTCGTAGATTTGGGGAAAACAGGGGGAGGGGAGATCCATTGCCCCGCCCCAATCCTAAGAGGAAAGGGTGGCATTCAAAACGCCTCAATATGACGAATATACCGGACTGCCGAAACTTAGAACACCGAAAACTGAAAACGTTGGAAATATACAAAGCCGAAGATATGAAACGCGGAAAAATTAACACACCGAAACATCAAAATGCCGACATCACCTATAGCTGTAATGGAAGGTAATGCAGCTCTCGATCTCTTTTAACTCCTTTATTCCCCTCTCACCTCGGCCACAAAATAAGACACTACGCCGTGCACCTTTAAGGGCTGCAGAAATTAGGCGTCTATTCCTACCTTCAACCGCAACCACCACCCACCTGTCTACCTTTCTTACATTCTTTCTCTCTCTATCTCTCTTGGCAAGATAAAGGGGAAAGGTTTCCCCGGATTCGTATACGATGCGCATGCTCTTTCGCGCTACTTCATCCTATTTTTTCAACCGAAATGGGAGACCCTTAACACGCCCGCGAATTCGTTCCTGCCATGGTTCCTGCATTCACTGCTTACTCCGGTTTTTATTCCACCTATACGGTTCGAGTCTTCGCTCCCCCTGTTCACTCACTTCCACCTGTCTTCCTCATTCCTCGCTTCATTCATTCGCTTATACTAATTCATGCTTCATGAAACAGTCAGTTCAGTGCATGCGCCAAAAAACATCTCGTATCACGCGTAAACACTTCGCTTCCAAGAGGCTGTGTCGAGGAGCATCGACTTTCGCCCATTCAAAGATGCGTGAAGAAGAAGATGGCATGCGCGTATTTTGTCGAGCGCTGTCTGTCTGGAGGAATGCCAGAAGTGAGTGACCTCGTTCAAAGTTGTTTTTCCTTAACCACGGGACTAAAAAACTTTTAGTATTTCGCTGTGTGCATGTTTAATCACCCGTAGCGTGTCATTGGCAATGTTTTTCCCGATAGGAAATGTGAACAAAGTACGGCCACGTATGAAAGACTGCTAATGATTGCCTACTAATCACTACTACTACTACTACTGCTGCTGCTGCTGCTACTTGCTGCTGCTACTTGCTGCTGCTACTTGCTGCTGCTACTTGCGGCTGCTACTTGCGGCTGCTGCTTGCTGCTGCTACTTGCTGCTGATGCTTGCTTCTGATGCTTGCTGTTGCTTGCTGCTGATGCTTGCTGTTGCTTGCTGCTGATGCTTGCTGTTGCTTGCTGCTGCTGCTGCATGCTGCTGCTAAAATAACAATAGCAATAAAGTGGGAATGTCTGCGACTACTGTTGAAAAAACTTTTAGGAAAATTTTACACGATGTAGCGCGTCTGTGTTGCATAGTCCTCTGTTATACAAGCAAATGTACATTACACGAAGCCCGGCGTGAGTTTTTCACTCCAGCAAAATACAAGACGTCCAAATAAGGGTAAGTTCACTTTTACCCGTCGCTTAGTTTCATTCTGAAGTGCTGTTACATAGCAGGAGGTACCTAATGAATTCTCGATCGCTGCCCCTTCCCGCGGTCTTATCTCTTTCAGTACTCATATCGATAAACTCACGAAGCCTCTGGAGGACGGGACGTAACGAAGCGAATGGCACTTCGTCGTGACACCATTGTTAGCACTACGTATTAGAGGGCCGGGCAACGTGACAGCAAGTCGATCCCCGCCTTTGAATTACGCTGGACGTTTGCGTTACACCCTCGTGAACGAAAGCTTCACAGTAGTTTATCGATCGAGAATGACTCCGTTCGGCTATGCTTGCTGACTCGGTGAACTCTTCCATCTACACGCTGTGCATCCATCTACTGAAATACGAGCACAAATTTGATTTTAATATTAATTATTGAAATTTTGCTTGCTAGAACCACAGCATGATTATGTCACGCACAAATGTGCAACCCTGGTTAATTTTGACACCCGGGGTTTCTTGACGTGCACCCAAACACCATTGAAACGTGGTCGACAGACAGACAGACAGACAGACAGACAGACAGACAGACAGACAGACAGACAGACAGACAGACAGACAGACAGACAGACAGACAGACAGACAGACAGACAGACAGACAGACAGACAGACAGACAGACAGACAGCGATCGGGAAGAGACAGACAGACAGACAGACAGACAGACAGCGATCGGGAAGAGACAGACAGACAGACAGACAGACAGACAGACAGACAGACAGACAGACAGACAGACAGACAGATAGACAGACAGATAGACAGACAGACAGATAGATAGATAGATAGATAGATAGATAGATAGATAGATAGATAGATAGATAGATAGATAGATAGATAGATAGATAGATAGATAGATAGATAGATAGATACAGAGATATTGTGGCGTAGGAAGTGAAGAAAAAGAGCACCTGTACCGTACAAGGTCCGTTATTCACTAATATGTCTCAAGCTAGAGTCGTTCGTAAGTAAAACAAAGCATATCCACGAGGTGAATGATGATGAGTGGAGAGAAGTGGTCAGACGCACGGACGGGCGGAAGCACCGACGGACTGATGGACGCTTGGCCCCACTCATCATAATTTACTCCGCGGATATGCTGTGACGCCGTTTCTATTGACATGCAATGCAATGGCTACTACGACGACTCCGACGACACGGGACGTACGATCTACGGCGTAAGGAGCTTCACCCCTAAATCTTCACTACTGCTGTACTCATCACTCGCGAATTGTGGCACTTGTGAACGAAAAGCTTGATAAACTTTTCCTCGGGGTCGGAACCTTCTGAGCGTTTTCATGGCGCATCTTTCGCTGCGGATCTTATGCCGCATCTTTCGTTGCATGTGTGAAGCATTGATATATTACCTACGTGAGCCCAATCGAATGAAAATACGCGTGGTTAAATACGGCTGTGAAGCCTGACAGACTGTTTACCTAATCCGTCATTGAAATCAAAGCGCAGTACAGGTGTGTTCACGGCCTGCATTCGTCTGAATGCGCGGCCGAATTGAGTTCGCTGAACACGCAGAGAGCGCTACACCAGATGGTGTTTCGGCGTACGCACTCGCTCGCGGGTATTGTTTTTTTTTTTCGCCCGACTGTTATAACAATTTCGAAAATGTCAAACGAGGCCACGCGTTTCCGTCACGCGCTTTCTAAAGGCAAAAAGCTACGACGTACCTATTATTGTGACTCAGGAGCACATGTGCTACTCCACCACTGGAACAAACGGGTAATGTTCCACGCGAAAATTTCAAAGAAGAGAAAAAAAAAAAAAAAAACTCGGGTTACGATCAAAACAAAACGTCGGGTCAATACCAAAGCTTTATTATTATTATCTTTTTAACGCATGACATGTATTTGTAGGGGAAAAGTAATAGAGTATACTAGCGGTTCGCCCGGCCGGTCAACGCACGCGTGATCATTTTGAACGGTGTGCTCGCTCAGCTAGCATAGCTAGTGCGCAGCTGTTTCCGAGAGTGGCGTAGACAAAACGCACGCTGCACGTGATTTCGCGAAGTGAGAAAACGTAAACAGAGACGTCCCGAAAACAATAAAGTGGTACAAGCGACCGAAGTTGCAAACGTGTATGTGACACGCGACGCAAGCCCAGGAGGCCTTCGCGGGAACCGGAGCGAGCACGAGCGCCAACCACTCTCTCTCTCTCTCTTTTGCTGGTTTACACCAAACCGTGGGCCGCCGAAAAACGAGTCACCCAGCGCGTGGCGCATTCGACACACACCGGGGTAAGCCAGGGGACAAACCGGCGACCGACCGGGCCTCGCCCCGCCTCCTCTCCGACCTTGGTCGCAAGCGGCGCTGGTGGAAAGGGAAGGCTCGGTGTCGGCCACCGCTGCGAGTCTGGCGCGGACGTCGCTACCGCTTCTAGCGGGACCGATCCAGACGCGACGGCGCCGTCACGTGACCTCCTCGTCGAGTGTTTGAAAACGCCGCGCCGTGCGCCGGAGGAGCCAGATCGAGCCTTGACAGCGCGCAGCGCGCATCGCGCCTCACCTGCCAGTGTCAGCTCGTGCGTCCCTTCCTTGCTGTACGCGCCGCACTTCTACCAGCCGTCATGGAAGTTGCCATGTCCCCCGCCTTCGAGCGCCTGATGCCTTCGCCGGCCGCATCCAGGGTGTCGTCTTCCGAGGAGTCGTCCTCCTGGAGGAGGCCCGACGCCGGAGAAGTCCTCTCCGGAGCCCTTGATCTTGTCGGCAACGTCCACGGCAGCTCGCGCCACGTGTTCGTGCGAGTCTACCGCACCAGCCGGGAGCACTTCGCCGTGCTGCTGCCCCTGCGCGCCCTGGCCAGCGCTTGCAAGCCCCTGGCGAGCCTGAACCTCCGCACGTGCGTCATCCTGCAAACGTCTCACGACGAATTCCGCGTCTCCCCGCGGCCCCTGGAAGGCGCCACGCTGTGCTTCAAGTCGCCTCCCGGGTCTCCCCCGGTCGCTCACTGGATCGCCGCTCTCCAGGAGCCGCGTCACCAGCGCGGACGCTGTCCCGGGTCCCCGCTGCTCGCCGTGCACAAGATGCCTGCGCTGCTCGAGGAGGACAACATGCAGCCTGTGTGTTGAAGGAAGCGGTGCTCTTGCGACCTGGAGTGGTGCTAATACGCCGTTAATTCTTTTTTTAAAAAAAGCGGCTGACCAGAAGTTCCTTCCTTCTCCAAATGGAAGTCGCCTGCGACCTCTAACAAGGAAGATCGAAGAGGTGCGACTCGAACCCGCGGACGTCCGTGGATGACCCACTTGGACGAGTTGTTGTTGCTCCAGCTCCGCTCCGAGGGAGGAGCCCAAAGTTTTGGTGTCCGCTGCCCTTGTACATACCAAACAGCCACAGCCGTCCTTCCTACCTGGGACAGCTGAGGCACGGGCAAGTTGCTATGGGCATTCCTCGGAGCATCAGAAAAGAAAGATCACCGCGGAGGCGTCTGACCTACTCTCTCCGCGGAAGAAAACCAAAGCTGCAAGGCCAAAGTGTCTCTCTCTGTGTATATAGCGTGTTACGAAGGACTCGTTTCTTTTTGTCGTTTTTGTAACACTGATATGGGACTATACGCTCGTTGTGCGCCGGACTCGAAGAACCTACATCGCCGGTTTGCTGCAGCTTCCGAGGACCCACTAAGCCACGGATTGCGTGCCGCGAAAGTGCTGCTCACCGCCGCTGTAAACAAGGGGCCCCTGCGAGAGCAGGAAAAAAACAACAGCTCCATCGCCGGGCGGCGCAGATGCGACGACGACCACAACAGGGGAAGCCCCGCGGCCGCAAGTATAATAGCGCGGCATCCTGTGATAGAAAAGACGTACACAACCCTTCACCAAGCACATCGTTAGCAGTCAACGTGCGGTCTTTATATGTGAAATAAATATCATTTTTTTTACTCGTTGAAAAACTTGTGTACTTGGAGCTTCAATATTTTCACCACGTTCTTTTCCCTTTCCGAGAAAATGAGCCGTGAGAGTGTCCTGCGGACATTAACAACCCCTTTACGTCCCTACATGCTTCGAATCGGCGTGCGTTTGGATTACCCCACAATCCTTAATTACACCCTAAACACACTGTCCATCTGTCGGAACGTCGCTATTCAATAATTTTCATCTCTCCACACTATAACTCCTCGGTATAAATGTGCGTTGAGCTTGTCTGAGTCCTTGATCTTCGCCTCGACAAGGAATCCTTGCAAATGTATGCGTTGCGGTTATGCTAGTCCTCAGGTACAAATTATTACGCCCTGCAGGGGCGTGCCCAGAAAGTTTCTTTAGAGAACTGTTGGTGGGAGTGTGGGAGAACCCCCGTTCCCACAGCCTTGGATTCGTCGTCGATTGCATATCACCGTCCTTTGTAAAAACGCTGCGCTTAGATAGACGTTAACCAACCCCACCGCACTGCGGTGTCCGTTTCTGTATATACAAACGGCACTGTGTATAACAGGCGCGGGCGGAAACACGAGAAACGGGCCGTCCGTGTTTTGACGGAAGCTTGATGTGCACAGGCGCCGTGGCGGCATCGCCAGCTGTGCCTTGTTTTTTTTTTATTGTTTTTCTTTTCGTTTCCGGAGCGCCGAGAATAGCGGCCGGAGACTTTTTTTCCGAATGCCAGCGGGCCAAATAACAACCGCATTTGATCGGCATCATTTGCGGACGTTAATGACGTGTCACGCGGGGCGAGTCCGGGTCGATACCGGAGGAGGCCCGTCTGGTATCGAACTCACCATCGAATGGATATAGTATAGATTTTGAGAGACGACGAGGAACGCATGCGTCTATTTGGCTCGGTTCCCATGGTGATTTCGCGAGCCATGAGGGTAAGTATACAAGGAAAAACGGTGTTCTGATGAGCCTTTGTGGCGGCGATAGCATACTCTATAGAAAATACACGAGGGATGTTTGTCTATAGAGCGACAAACCCTCACACGGTGTGTTTGTCTTCGTGGAAAAGAAAGAAAGGGAGATTCTGCGTGACGTCGACGATATGTGTTTGCGTAGGAGACGGCAATTCTGCGACGACAGACGACGGCTATCGCGAAACGGCATGTAGTGTGCGATGCGCCATTGAGGCTTTTCGGGAAAAACAAAACAACACGCGACGTGATATCAGCCCCTCTAAGGGGCCTCGTGAAAGAGCAGTGGTGCGTATATCGCGACGGAGAGATCAGAGGTTTCTACAGTGTAACATGAGTGAAACGACAGTGAAAAAAGCTTCGATTTCACTGACAGCCGACCGTTGTGCCAAGAAAAGCAATTGCAACGGCTTTCTTTCGAAAGTGCACCGTGTTATGCAAGCTGTCCGTGACAGTTTTATGAGAGTCCTGTTCACGAAGGTTGTTGACATATAATAATCTGTCTCTCCTACATATCTAGTCGCACACAGCTCTAACTGTGTGGCGCAATCGAACCGGCGAAGCGAACACGTCCACGTGTGTCCAAGCCGAACCGCCTATTCTGTACTCAGTTGAGCAACGCTGATGTTTGGTCTTTGTAAACATACAATAAGCATCGAACTGACGAAGCTTTCTATTGGTATATGCCGTCTTTGCCAGTGGCAGACCGAAATGCGCGGTACTTACGCCGTTCCAGTTACCCCTATTAAGCACTTCCAATATTAGATGATTGAACAACAGAAAGGATAGAGGAAAGCAACAGGCTTCAGAATTCAGGCCAACTAGCCCAAATCGCCATTCTTCTTCAACAGGCTCCTCTCTCACTACATGAAACTGTATTGTTAGACAGCGTATCAATGCGAAATCTCCAACTGCAGTCACATCCATTCAATAAACTCATTACTCCTCCCTCTACTCGTCCAAGTTACTCGAGCAGAGCGCAATTATAAGAAGACGAAGACGCCAAGCAGTAGAGATTAACCAATGTACTGACGTTTCGACACTCTGAAGGGGAACCTCGTTCTCCACGAAGAAGGCTCCGATTCTGGGAGTCGAAACATCAGTACATTGTTTATCCTCTTGTGGTATAGGTGCCCTCGTCTTTTTATTCAGCATTATTCTTCTCGACCACACGGGTGTCTGCCGAAGCCTTGATTCCATTTGAGCGACTGCAACGACTTTCCTCGGATTCACTTCCTTAGGTGCCGATGTTCATGCAATGGTTATGTCCACTTCAATATTTAAACAAGCCATGTTATTCCCTGTGGTTTCCTTGGCTACATTATCTGCTGCATTCTTAATTATTTTTAGCGTTGCTGGTAACTACATTTCTGCGTTTATTCCTTCCATTTCCAAGTGACTTTTCTGTATGATTTGTAGATTCGTAAACTGTATCCGACATTCGCCGCTTGAATTTGAGCTTTCAGACACGCGCGCACAACTTCTCTGTGCAGCAACGGAGGAAACGGAAGTTGCTTTGGAAACGAAGGCGCAACGTTTACCTGTCAGCCAACTTTCTCGGCTTCGAAATCTTCGGAGACAGCTAGCTCCTTCAAGGCAGAGACCGCTCTTAGCACATCTTCCGCACGCCCCCCTTTTCACACTTCTCACGCCACTGCCTGACTGCAAACGCAGCACGCAGACAGACGTCTGGGAATCCTGCCAGAATCGTGTCCCGGCTCCATCGGCTGCAGTGAGGCTCTTTTGCCGGACGAGTTGCGAAGGCCGGCCACTATAGCGCAGTCTCTTGTCTGCCACGAGCACAGTTCGGTTGCGTTGAGTTATTGTCCTGGCAGCTTCTTTATGTTGTCATACGCGCTTGAATCCACGATTGTTTACGAAGATGCGAATCCCGCAGTGAAACAACAATGCTTGGTTGGAATTGGAACAGTGTGAACTACATCAATGGCGTAGCTGGGAGAAGGGTGGGGCGGGGGGGGGGAGGGGGCTCAGTTTTATTTTTTGAAAGTTATAAATTTTGCGTGTGCACACGCACACATACAAACCCGCACACGAACATAAAGTGAGCATGGCTGATCCCAACTTCCTCCTCAAAAAGTTTCAGGATTCGCCAATGAACTGCATAGATTGCTAGACGCAAAAGCGAGCACATCAATGCGAAGAAACGAGCCGGCAGATGATCGCTTTCGCCTTCACAGTAGCCTGTATAAGGAATTGGTGGACAAAGACAGTGTGCATTTGCAGTTGGAATTCCATTTCTATGGTTTCCTGTCCAGTTCGGTGGCCACACTGTATTGCCAGAAGTTCGAGTGAATTTACTGAACTACAGAGATTCAAAGCAGACTGCCTGTCATTGTCTACATTTAGGTTTATTTACTGTCCTGGCCACTATTTGTACACTTCTGGACACTATCTTGACCCATTCACCACTCCACCCCTCGCACCTTCCACAAACACACTTGTATTAAATAACGTGCTAGAATCACTGATAAGACAACATTCCAGCCAATTTTGATGCTGGGCATATCAGTAAAGGCAAAAGTCCAATAGTGAAATTCTCTTATGAACAAAATGTTTCTGAATTAGGCCAATCAATTCTGCTGGTATCGGTTTATTGATTGATTGATTGGAAACATCGTCTATTTGGCATAAAAAATCTGCGAATATTTAGTGTAGAACAGCACGCTCTTACGTCAAGCATGTAAAAAAAGCTGTTTTATAGGATATCGGTCTTTATATATTTCTCTCTGTTTGAGTAAACTTCAAGATACAAAATTTAATGAAGTCGTCAAAGTTGCAATGCCTTAAAACCAACTAAATTTACTTTTTTCAATCAGGCATTGAGCCATAAAAAATAACATACATTACATTTTGCTTTAACATTTTTACTGGGACTTATTTAGCCTTGGTGCGATAGGTGCACATATGGTGTAGCTATCGCAACCGGTTGCTTAAAAAAAAAAATGACTGAGAGTGGAACATAAACGTAACCAAACGAACGTGCGTCAAGATATGATGTCCTCATTCCACACGAACAGACAGAAGTCCCACATATACTATACGAGGAAATAAACCGAAAATGAAGCCGTTTCTGGCGAGATGCACAAGTCCTATGACGTGGCATATATGTATAGTATTTTTTTTTCCCGGACGAGTTTGACAAAAACACGAAGTGTGATTTGTGATCCGCACCGCCGAAAATGTCGCATGCTTGCCCTGTGGCAATGCGGAGAAGTGTTGCTACGCGAGGAATTCGTGTCGTGCAACGTGAGCACGCGAAGGCGACAAAAACAAAGGCGAAACTGGCGAACGAAGAAATAAATGTACCAAGCGCAAGAACTTGAATCTGCTTTTCTGATGTGCCACAGATACGAAGAAAACTGGTAGCCTTTTAATCACATATGCGCGCAAAACAGATTACCAACGGAAGCTCATCCGACTATTTAATTCGAGAAAGACATACCCGAGCTGCGGTGCGACAAATCTGAATCCTCGCCAATTTACCTTTTCGTATTTTTTCTATTTTTAAGTTTAATTTTGTTGTTTTAAAATGTCGTGACAGATAGTTGCACTTTGTACATAAAGCTATATGAACCCTGCTTTGAATCGGTGCTACCCTATGAAAGCGTGGCTCGCTTTCCTAAGCAGAAACAAGCGCGAGGGAAAAATAATAAGTTATCGTTTTTGTCTCAAGGTTTTCATTATACGCCGCGTGAATTTAAAAGCCAACTGCAAATATAAGAATTTCTTATATATAATTTACATTGGAAGCGATTATATTTAGAATATTTACAACTAGCTGTGTCACCCAAAGCATCTCACGCGGCGAGTCCGCTTGTTCCTTGTCGATTCGTCTGCGACAGCGGGCTTATGCCCACTGCCTCGTAACAGTATAAACCACGCTCCGAGGCTTTGTGATTGCGCAGTTAAATAAGAAATATTACCTGACAATTAAGCAGAGTCTAGAAATATAACCAGATAAATTCATTCGATCCTTACATACATGTTTCAGAGCTTTTTGTTGTATAAACCACGCTCTGAGGCTGAAGTTA